GAGTTTCCTCCTCCACCCTGCCACGTTCCTGCTGTGGTTTCTAGAGCTACACACTTCTCGTACCTATGGTGGATAGAACCTCAGTGAGGCAAATAATTAACACTTGGGGGTCATGGCAGCATCCAGAAGGCCCTCCCTGAGAGGAGTGGCTGGTTGAGATATCCCCCCCAGCACTGGAAGCACCCAGAGAACAGGAGCTCCTCTAAACAAACATGGTGTGTTCTCCCCCCTAAAAAAACAGTTCTTTGACTCACTGCCATCAGACTGTCGTGGCACAACCCTCACTTGTGTTTACCTGGTTCCAAAATGCTAAATATTATTTCAATGAAATGGTTTTGACAGAATTTATTAGAACAAGCTAAGAAAGAGCTCCAGTGTTGCCACTTGGCTACCTGAGGCAGCTACAGTTTCAGACAAAATCCTGCACCTACCCATAATGTCTCACGCTCAGATGTGTCCCTCTGCTTCTCCAAGAGCCTCCTGCTGCACACATCTGGCCAGAGGGACAGAGACATGTTCCTGGTTCTCCCCTCAACCTGGAGGGAAGGGACGTGCCCAAACCACCAAGCCATGGGGTATTTTTTACTGGTTTGGAAAACAGACTGCCCTGGTGATCAGTGCCTTGCAGACACAGCTCAAGGACTGGTGAAGCTCCACTTCCAGAAAAATACCTCTTATCCCAGGGTTAGCCCCTGTCAGCCTCCACCTTCGCTGAGCTGGCTGCCTGGGCACCTCCCCCTGAAGTGATCTGAGCTTCAAAACAAAGATTAGGTGCTTCAGACTCCTCATCCCACTGGGAATTCCCTGCACATCCCTGTGGCAGGACACACAAACACCCTTCAGGATCCTGTTGAAGGTGGACACACAGCAGTGGCTGCAGGATTCAAAAGCCAGAGGCAACAGAAGGCAAAAAGCTTCATGCAGCTCAAACAAACAAGACCTGCTGTTCTCTGTATCCAACCCCCCTGTGTTTATGCAGAGATGAAAGTTCCAAACTCTTCAGCTTCCTGACTGAGAGACTCTGTGGAGTCAGAACCCCAGCATCTCTCTGAATTGCCTGGTTGCTTGACACCTGTTTCCAAAGGCAAGGCCAGAATATTGCATATTCCTGCTGCTGTCTGGCAGCTGGGCCAGTTCACAGATGTATCAAGCTGCTGGCTCGGACCAGCACAGCACTTGTGGTGCCCATCAGCACCCTGGCAATCAGCACTGCACTCCTCTCACACTGGGGGAGGCTCTTCCAGAGCAAGTTTTTCCTCTGAAATCACAGGTGCCTCAGGCAATCAGAAAGGATTTCCCAAATGGCTCTCCCAAAAACTCGGACACCCAAAGAACACGTGTTAAAGCTGAGCTCCTCCCCTACACCAACACTACTGCTACCTGCCCTACAGCAATACTACTCTGACCTTTAATATCAAAATAAAATCGGTGCATCCAACAAGACAATCTCTGCTAAGGCTGTTTTAAGCTCTCATTACTCGTGTGCCTCAGCCCTGAACCGCTGGAACAGCACCCAGGGCTGGAGGACCTCAGTGTTTAAGTGCACTCCTTCCCCAGGTCCAGGTTTCTGATGACAACATTCCACACAGGAGGCAAGAGGGAATGTTGTAAAAACGTCTGTGTGATTAAATGCCTCTTGTGAACCTCCCTGGCAGGGGAATACCATGACTTAACACCATCTGCACCACGTCAGAGAGTTAAATGACTGATAAGATGACAGGAATCCCTGTGGTGAATCGAGTTGATGCCAGGAGTGAGTTTAGAGGCTCACTGGTGAAACAACTGGCTGTGAAGAGCAATTTGGCACTGGGCTGTGAGCCCATTACCCAAAATCACTTCCCCCAGTTCATCCTGTGTGACTGGAGAGGTTTAATGGAAGACAGGCTGCCTCTCATGGCTGCTCATTGACAGCAGCTGATGTCTCCCAGCACGGCTCTTCTCTTTGGGCTCATAAAAAAAATTACAGAAAACAGCTACAGATCCAAAGAAAAGGCTCCTCAGTTATTTGAGGGCAGATTTTCGAAGCTAAAAACGCATGTCAGGATACAGTGACATTCCCAAGAAGTTCCCTGTGCAGCTAAAGGATCTGTCTGCCACCAAAAAACGGGCAGCAGGAAGCACTAACCATGATTTGCAATGCCACAAGATCCAACTTCTACACTTCACGTTCCCTGCTACTTATGGGGCCAGATTTCTGCCAGGACTTATTTAACACATTTTCAGACAAATATCCCTGAGGGAGAAGTGTAGAGTTTTTCTGTAGAAAAGCTAATTCTCCCTTCTGGAAAAAAACCAAACCAAACCAAACCAAAAGTTAGCTGCTAGAAAATAGAAAAATACTACAACCAGATGAATTACTGCTTCCTGGTCAGCTTTCTCCACCAGGAGACTGGTAATCATGGAATAGTTTGGGTTGGAAAGGACCTTAAGGATCATCCAGTTCCACCTCCTGCCATGGGCAGGGACACCTTCCACTATCCCAGTTTGCTCCAAGCCCTGTCCAACCCGGCCTTGGACACTTCCAGGGATGGGACAGCCACAGCTTCTCTGGGCAACCTGTTCCACCACTCTCCTATCATAAATCACCACAATCACTGCCCATAAGTTAATTTTGCATGGAGCAGTACAATGAGAACCCATGCAAAGTCGCAGCAAATAACTCTGAGGGAGATCCAAGCTCCTGCCACCGCGTTTCAAGCGCTGCTCAAATCCTGACAATCGTTACCATAAAGCAAAATAACCCTTCCCACCCTCCCAGCACCTTCCCACCCTCCCAGCACCCTTGTGTTTGGGATAATCTTTGGATGGCTCTAATTGAGCCTCTTTCCAGTCACCCTGTCCACAGATTTTTTTAGCAGATTAAGCCAAAGAAAATAAAAATATCTTTCAGTTAAAGCATTAGAGGCTAAATCCACTAAGATCCCCATGGCCACAAACAGTTGTCTAAGGAGCTTTCTGCTCATGGGGTTTTGTTTTGGTTTTTTTTGCTTCATTTTTTAACAACAGCCTTTTGCAGAGAGGTTTGGGGTGGTCTGGTTGCTTCCATCTGCTTTTTAGCAGATCTTGCTGTGAGTTGTTACTCCAAAGGGCAGCAACAGCAGGGAGGCTTCTCTTCACGGGGTGATAAACTCCCCGATATCGGCAGCTGAATGGCAGTGGCACCGAAGGCACAGCGCTGAGTGCCACAGCTCTGCACCAAAGGAACATCTCCCATCTCCCAGGGTTTGCCAGGAATAGTGCTCTGGGAGGCACAAGGAGATGCACTATGAACAGAGAACTCCTGTGCTGGTAGCAGGGAGGATCTTGATGTTCACAAAGTCTTTTAAAATCCAAAGGGCAAGGAATCTAATTCAAATTATGAAGGGGAATTACCGAGCAAACGCAACCCAGCACAAAAGCTGTAACAAGAACGCCTTGTGGAGTTATAAGGCGTTACAGCAGCACCACCCAGACATTACTCCTCACTCTAAGATTTCTTCCCAAATTATATATTTAAGTAGAATGCATCTCACAGCATCCTTCGGGGGGAGGACTGAGGAGATAAAAAAAGCAACAAAATCCCCCAAACTCACACCGCCTGAACTCCATCCAGCTGATACAAACACAGGCAGCAGCAGAGGAGAGCTCATGGGAGAGCCTGGTGCACCGCACCTGGGCTGCCCGATCCCTGCAAAGCACCGCGAGGATTTCCTCTGCTCTCCCCTCCTGGCACGACCTGGAAGCCAAGATTTAAGGTGCTCCTCGTAAATCCCTGCACCAGGAACACGCCACTCCACTGCTTTTCACCTCGGGTTTGCGCCCCGTGTGTGAAACCGCAGCTGACCGTAACCCCAAGGAGGCACAGCTGATTCGGTGTCACTCTTGGTTTTGCTGCTGGGAAAGGAAAAACCCGTTTAAAAGAGCAGCAGGGCTTTTATAACAGCAAAGAACCGCGAAAAAAATAAGTGCCGGGTTAGGGCATAGTTACTGGTGCATCTGCTGATTCCCAAAGAACGAGCCGCGCTAAGGAAAGGAGGATCTGCCGGCTGAACCCTGCCTGGCACTTCACTGACTGCACCGTCCAGGAGTCATCCTGCCTGGTAACACTTCCCACTAAGAAAATTCTAGTCGGAACTTTTCCAGTGAGAGCAAAAAAAGGAAAAAAAAAAAAGAAAAAAAGAAAATCAAACGAAGAAAAGCCTCAAGTGCGAATTCTCAGCTTATTTCTTTACAAGCTGACAAGTGATCCTTATATGTTTGGCACTATTTACATTTTTTCCCCCCTCAATTGTAACCCTTCCCAGGACACCACTTGTAAAGTTTACATCATCATTCCAACCACAAACAGGGCGGGTTTTTTTTTTCCGTGAGCTCTAACAGGCAACTTTCCCACAACTTACTAAATCCTTTTTTTTATTATTATTAATTTCACTTGGAAAGGATAAATAAATAGATGAATAAAGGATAGATAAATAGATAGATAAGTAGACAGATATAGGAGAAAGAATCAGATAGATAGATAAATAGATAGGAAAGCATTAGATCGATCGATCGATCTAATGTTCCAGGAGAGCAGTCCTTTCCATCATTTTTCTGAATGGGTAATTAAAGCAAAACTTGGGAAGGGTGCTGTTATGCTCCAGCATCCGTCTTCTGATGGAGCACCATTCCTCTATTCGGCAATACACACACATATATATATATATACATGAAATTATTAGTGGGTTGTAACTAAACAATTCTCCACTTCGTGCCCGGTCCTTCAAACGGCAAAATACCTCCTCGCTTCACGCTCTGCAGGCACACACACGCACACCTGTGGAGATCTATTTGTTAGGGTTTTAAAGGATCTGGTTATGACAGATCCGCTCCGAGCGCAGCGGAGCCCTCACCGCGTTCCTCGGGGGATGCGCCGATCGGGGAGGAAGATGCGAAGGTGACACTCACCCTCCGCGGAGCTACGGCAGCCCCCCCACCCCGTGCCCCGTTCCCGCCGCCCCTGCCCTGCCGGCCGCGCTCACCTCGCTCATGTCGCGACAGTCGCGGTCCCCTCCGGCGCGCGCCGCTCCCGCCGCCCCGCGCCGCGCGTTAAGAAGCGGCGCCGCGCGCCCGGCCCGGCCCGCGCCGGCCAATCAGCGGCGAGCCCGCGAGCGCCCCACCCAATCGCGGGCACCTGCATCCCGAGGGCGCGCGGCGCCCCCTGGCGGCCGGCGGCGGGGATCGGGCCCCTCAGCGTCCCGGCCTGCCCCGTGCTCGCCTTCCACATTCCCGTCCCCATTCCCGTCCTCCATTCCCGTCCTCCTCCTCCTCCTCCTCCTCCCCGGCCGGGGGTCCCGTGCGGTTTAGCAAGAGCGGGTCCAAGCAGTGCTGTAGAAAGTGCCCCTCTGTCCCCTCAGGTGACACCCCCCCCTGCAGAGCTGCTCCAGCCCTGGGAACAGCACAGGGAGCACAGGGAGCTGCTGGAGAGAGCCCAGAGGAGGCACCAAGAGGATCCCAGGGCTGGAGCAGCTCTGCTGGGAGGAAAGGCTGGCACAGCTGGGATTGTTCAGCTGGACAAGAGAAGCTTTGGGGTGACCTGATTGTGGCCTTGCAGGGCCTGAAGGAGCTCCAGGAAAGATGGAGAGAGACTATTTCCAAGGGCATGGGGTGGCAGGACAAGGGGGAATGGCTTTCAACTCACAGAGTAGGGTTAGATGGGATATTGGGAAGGAATTGTTGGCTGAGAGGGTGGGCAGGCCCTGGCACAGGTTGCCCAGAGAAGCTGTGGCTGTCCCTGGATCCCTGGAAATGTCCAAGACCAGGTTGGAGCGATCTGGGCTAGTGGAAGGTGTCCCTGCCCATGGCAGGGAGTTGGAACAAGATGACCTTCAAGGTCCCTTCCAACCCAAACCATTCTATGATTCTATGACCCCCTCATCATCACACACCCCTGGTTACAGGCAGAGGGGCTGATGCCTTTCCCAAATGCCCAGCACAGGGTGAAGCCCTTTGGGATGGTTTTGCGGCATCCTTGCAGGGGAGAAACACAGTGGGGAGAGGGGGAGGAGCAGCCCTTTACACAGCTGTGCTGGAGGTGACCTGGAAATGGGAATTATTGCTGCAGATTGGATAAACAAATGATATTAGGAAGAAATTTTTTTACTGTGAGGGTGGTGAAACACTGGCACAGGCTACCCAGGGAGGTTGTGGATGCCCCAACCTCAGCACTTCTCAAAGCCAGGTTGGATAAGGCCTTAAGCAACCTGGTCTAGTGGGAGGTGTCCCTGCCCATGGTAGGGAGGTTGGGACTAAATGATCTTTAAGGTCTATTCCAACCCCTTAAAACTCTAAGATTCCATAAACCAGGCATTGTGTCACTGCTCTCACCACTGGGCTTCGCTCTCCATTGCATTAATCTTGCTGCCATCCTTGTTAAAATACACAGCATTTCTTCCATGGACACGTGGAGGACAGGCCTTTCCATCCTTTTTCTGAATGGTTAATTAAAGCCAAACTTTGGGAAGTGCTGTTGTGCTCCAGCATCCGTCTTTTGATGGAGCACCATCCCTGTATTGGGCAGTGCACACTCAGATGCTCTGGCTCATGTATCTGTGAAGAAATACAGGTTCCATTAGCTCTGGGGATGTGTTTAACTCCCTCAGATTTTTTTCTCAGATCAATAAAAAATTTAACACACCGTTTTGGAGGAGTTTGACAAGCCCTTCCCCTCCCAGGGATTACCTGGCAGCAGCCTCTTCTCTTCACCACTTTCTGTCCTCAGGGCCAGTATTTATGGAGCCAGTGAAATCAATTTGGTGAGAAACCTCCTTTCCCCTTTGAGCTGCAGAGACAGGGTGGGCTGGGCTCCTTCACCTGAGGATGAGGAGGCTCCACAGGCACTGGAAGCAGGGATGTGTATCCTGGGATGCTGCCCAGATATGTGAGGATGGGATCAGGAAAGCTGAGGCACAGTTGGAGCTGAATTTGGCAAGGGATGTGAGGAATAATGAGAAGGGCTTCTAGGGCTACATTAGCCAGAAGAGGAAGAGAAAATAAAATTTACCCTCATGGGAAATAAAACAGGAAAGATGGTGCCAACCAGGTACTGAACACATTTTTTGTCTCAGTTTTCCATGTTAATCCCTCCTCCAACATTTGTTGAGCCCCCAAAACTCCACAGGAATGAGGTGTCACCAAAAGTGAAGATGAGGTTCTAGACCAGCTGAGGAACCTGAACACACCCACGTTCATGAGAAATGGCAAGATGCATCCAAAGGGTCCTGAGGGAATTTGCTGATGGAGTTCCCAAACCACTCTCCACAATATTTGACAAGTCATGGCAGTCTGGAGATGTCCCAGAAAGAGAAACATCTCCCACTTTTTACCAGGGCCTGACCAGAGTTGTGTACATGGGGTATGAGGCAGAAAATGAATTCTACCTTTTAAGAATTTCAAGCCTGAATGAGGTTAACCCCCTTTTTATTTCTTTTTTTTGTTGTGAGTGGACCAAGCGGGCAATGAGCACAGGAAGAGTTCACGAGTAGCTTCAGGAGCTCCAGTGTAAGGCCCCAAAGCAAAGATGACAAAGTTTAGCCCCTGGAGAAGCCGTGTTTCATGTGACAACATTTTCCAGGGAAAAGTAACTGTGGGTGTGTTGCATTAGCAATCCCGCTCTGACAGGAGTGCCACTGGTCTGTCAGCTTATGGGCACGAGGCACAGTGCAAACATAAATCATCAACAGAGTGTTCCTGATCAAAGGGCTCCCAAGCACGTGGGAAGAGACACAGAACGCTGAGAGAAAATCTTTTCAGCTCCCCCTGACGCTGAGAGGAGTCGTATCAGTCTCGCTCTCCATCAGCAAAATAAATCTGTCAAATTCAGGCAATAAAATCTCCTGGTGGAAATTCAGTCTGTGTGTGCTCCCAGGAGAAGGTTGGCAGAAAAGGCTCTTTGCTCCAGAGGCTGCAGGAGAAGAGGCAAAGTCTTTCTTTTCTGGCCTGTCTGAAGGAGGTCAGAACTTCCAAGAGAGGCACCCCCAGAGGTCCATGGCATCCAGCCCTGTGCCACCCTGGCAGTGCCACCCGCTGCAGGACATCCCCTGCGCTCCCTGGGGGTGGGATTGATGTCAGCTGGCATTTTGAGGGGTGAGCTGCCCAGATTAGCCAGTGGGAGAAGTTGTGGAGGGTGGAAATCCCTCCCTTTTTAGGCCACTCAATGTGTCCACTGTTTTCAAACACAGTACCAGGACCTGTGTCTCTTCTGGATCAACAGCGGTGATGGCAGTGCCCTCCATGCAGTGACTCTGTTTTGATGACCACTTGTGTATTTTCTAGCCTGCAGTCATGTTGTAAGATGCATAACCTGCCCTCAGACAGGTTTCTGAGCGAGCACAGGACTCCCCTCTCCCCTGGGAATTGATCCACAGGGATGCATCTGTTCTCTCTTTCCCCCTCTGAATCTCGTTCCCTGCAAGAGTTTAACAGCTCTTGAATGTACAAACACAGAGCCACAGATACCTCCTAAACTTGGGGGCAGTCAGCTTGGTTGAACAAACCTCAAGTTCTGGAAATGCAGCAGCAACTTGAACTCTTCAAAAGGATCTTACTATAAAGGTAACCCTAATATTTGTTTTATTTATACCCTGTCATTTATGATGTGTGATGGCAGCACCTTTCAGTTTTGAGGCACCCCCTTTTCTAACCTGTGGCAATCCTTTAACTGAAAGGTGGCCCAAAATTCTGCTTTTACTTAAGTGCACAGCTAAGCTGTGGCACTCCTAAAGTAGAGAGAATGTTCTAAGCAATCTATTTTCAAGAACTGTTACATGCTGAAAATTGACTATTAAAATGCCACCTTCTTATTCATCACGTCTGCACTCGGGGTGTGCTCAGTCTTGTCTGCTGCCACATGACTGCAATTTTACTTCCTTTTACTCCCACTTACCTGAGAGATGCAGCAGAGAGAAGAGCATCTGAGCTGGATCTTGAAACAAAAAGTCCCTCAGGCTTCCAAGGAGTTTCACCTGTGCAAAGGGACCGAAGATGGCTCTTCTCTGCCACACTCTGTAATTGAAGAATGTGTTTTAGGACCATGTAATCACAGGGTGCTTTGGATTGGCAGGGATGTTAAAGATCATCTCATTCCAACTCACCTTCCACTAGTCCAGGTTGCTCCATGCTCTGTCCAGCCTGGCCTTGGACACTTCCAGGGATCCAGGGGCAGCCACAGCTTCTCTGGGCAGCCTGTGCCATGGCCTGCCCACCCTCACAGGGTAGAATTTTTTTCCTAATATCTAATCTAAACCTTTTGTCCAGCTTAAGGCCATTACCCCTGGTCCTTTCATTCCATGCCCTAGGGAGAAGTCCCCTCCAGCCTCCTTGCAAACCCCCCTAAGGCACTGGAAGAGGATCTGAAGTCCCTCCTGAGCCTTCTCTTCTGCAGTTGAACAACCCCAGCTGTGCCAGCCTTTCCTCCCAGCAGAGCTGCTCCAGCCCTGGGATCCTCTTGGTGCCTCCTCTGGGCTCTCTCCAGCAGCTCCCTGTGCTCCCTGTGCTGTTCCCAGGGCTGGAGCAGCTCTGCAGGGAGTGTCTCACAAGAAGGGGACAATCCTCTCCCTTGACCTGCTGGTCACACCTTTTTGGATGCAGCCCACGACATGGTTGTCCTTCCAGGCTGCAGGTGCTCATTGCCAAGTCATGTTGAGCTTTTAGTCCACAAACACCCCCAGATTTTTCCCCCCAGGCCTGTTAATCCATTCTCCTCCCAGCCTGTGCTTGGGATTGATCCCACCCAGGTGCAGGACCTTTGCAGTTGTTCCTTGGACACCTCCAGGGATGGGGACTCCACCACCTCCCTGGGCAATCCCTTCAATGCTCAGCAACCCTTTCAGTGTAGAAATTCTTCCTGATGTCCAATCTGAGCCTCCCCTGGCACAGCTTGAGGCCATTTCCTCTTGTCCTGTTGCTAGTTCCCTGGGAGAAGAGACCAATCTGGTTCTGGCTACAACCTCCTTTCAGGTGGTAGCAGATAGTTCAGGTAACAGGACAAGATCTCTCCTTAGGCTGCTGTGTTTTCTGTACAAAATTTGCTTCAAATCAAATCAAACCCCAAAAGAACAAAACGAAAATGTGGCTGT